CTCGGTTGTTCATAAGCCAGAGCTTCGCGAAGGGCGTCGCCGATAAGTTGCAGGTTCTGTCGACGGATTTTATTGATGAGGATTTTGTGGATGCTTGTGCAGGACTTACGTATGCAAGAATTGAAGGGAGGGCCTGAGAGATTATTGTGATTTGTGTGTTCTTTCTTTCTCTGTGTGGTCGTCTTTGTTGTATTGTTCCTGGTTTATTTTGTGTGCCATAATTTACAATCATAATTATTTGTGTGTGATGTGGGGGAGAGTTTTTAAGTACAACAATGAATTCTAACTTATTATCTATCAGTAAGAGACAAATATAAATTACTGCTGACTGCTGAGTATTACTGTTGAGTTAAGTTCAGATTCTAACGTGGGAGAGAATTTGTTTATGGGTGTTCAATATTATTATTTTGATAATTTGATAGGGTTTTGTATATAGGTAATATGCTTTGAGTTGGTTTAGTTGGGGCAACTTAACAAATCATTAGTGTAAATTGGTTGAGATCGAGATCCATTTTGGTTCTTGTCTTGTGGGATTTGGCAAATTAAAGGGCTTAAATGGGTTGGGTTCAACTTGATTTCTTGTCAAAATTGTCATAAGCAACTAACATATATCAGTCATATGAGAAAGAAAGAAAAAAATTCTCTGGTTAGAATCAATCTTTTTCAAGAATGTTTGAGATATACTTTGATACCTATGTAGTCAGGGAAGCTTCTATTTTCCTCGTCTATATATCCTACTTGTTGAGGAGAGAAACCACTAGGCATCATGTGTGGGCCTCAAGGAAATAATATGTCAGTCCCTCGACCACCAATAGCTAGGGTAAGTGTGTGCAGAATACAATGAGACAATGTCGAACGCACCATACGAATGCTTTAATGAAATTAGAGTTTCTAACAAACTCACCCAATAAGCGATTGTCATAGTGTCACTCTACACTAGCAAAAAAAGGACACAAAATGTCTAGAGGCGGGGTCCCCAATAAGCGATTGTCATAGTGTCACTCTACACTAGCAAAAAAAGGACACAAAATGTCTAGAGGCGGGGTCCTCACACTCCTGATGGGCTGTCCATCCTACTCCACCACTCTCTCCCTCCATATATAAAGAAAATACAACCTTAACGAAGCTAATAATAATTTAACTTAATTTTGAGTAACATCTATACTAATATGATGAATTTTTGGTGATACCTAAGGGTTTGGAAAATAATTCAAACATAAATTTACATAACCAAATAAATAATTTAACTTAAATTTAAATAATATATGAAATAGATATTATAAAAGTGAATAAAGAAAAAGGTGACAAGATTGGTTGTGGATTCGAAAAAGATACACATGTTAGGTGAAATTTGACAAGTTGAAGTTAGGTAAGAATGTCCAAACTTAGTTAGTTCGGTGTTAATTGACACTTTTTTTTACTAAGGTCATGAATTTGAATTTTCCTGCACTAACAAAAAAGTTATAAAAGCATGACTAGCATAAGAAGTTTGTCAAATAATAATTTATTACGTGGATGACGTTAAAAGTCCTAAGATATAGAAATTATATGTTTCAATATTCAAAATTTTCAAAAAAATAAAATCATAATCAATATTCAGAACTCACAAATTGTGTGTCTAATTGCTATATACCTCCCAAAATTCCATAAACAATGTCATAATTCTAAAATTCAAATTGCTCATCTTACATGGATAATAAATAAAATTACTACCATCTCCATTTTAAAATTATAATTTATAAAGGGTAAAATAGTGCTTTGTTATTTGAGATTTGGGAAACAAGTCGATTTTGTCTCTCAGTTTGAAAATTTTACTTTTTAGAAATACTCAATTTTAGTCCTGGCACATTAATTAAATTTATATTAGTTTGGTTGTCGGCGAATTTTGAAGAGGTCCAAGTGTCCTTTGGATGCGTTTGTTCATCGAAGACCAAATAAGCTTGCAACCAGAAAACTCGACGTCAGTACAATATCTCGCCTAATGCACTTCGACGATCAAGTCAGTAATCAGAATAAAAATAATAAGAATAGACACCAAGGGATTTAGTGACATATTATTCACTTACTTGGTAGTAAGGGCATCATTCCCCTTTATAGGTGCGAATGATCTATCAGGAAGGACGGTGGTTAGAGGTACAGGGGCATGCTGAGTTGAGCCTGATAGAGGAGGGTGGACGTTTCTGACAATGATGGGTGGCATTTCCGTCTGCTGGCTTGTCCCCCTGCAGATGCAGGTTGCAAGGCTGCGATCCTCGACACCTTACCCGTACAGTTATGACAGTGACGTGCATGTACGCAGGCACATCATACGCTGCTAACCGTATGTAGTCTCATACCTCTCTATTGCCCTCAGTGTTTGATGCGTATCTTGCTCAAATTTCTCCTTCAACAAGTTTAATAAGAAAAAGATTTCCTTCCCCTCCACATCGACTACCTAACTCCCTGTTTAGATATCCATATATAAGTTAAATTTAACCAACTCATCAACTTAAGTTTTTAGGTTGAGTAATGATTTGTTCATCCTTTACAATATCAAAGCAGAAGGTCTTGTATTTGTGTTTTTTCCTCTTCGGTTAACACTCTCATCGCTATCACCCCAAAAATTGAAGGTAAAATAGTACAAATAAAATGGTGAAACAAAAAACAAAGTTGTAAGAGTTATATTGAAAGGAGCGTATAAATTATAAAAATATTTGGGGTCTCCGTTGTTCTAAACACACTGAGCCGGCTGCTAAGTAGACATGGACCATTACTCTTAAAAGTCATAAAAAATATATATTTAAGAAAAAAAAATGGGGAGAGAACTATAATAAAATAATAAAACTACGAAACAACTCGTAATGGATTGATAAAAGTGAGACTTTGGTTATGGGGTGCATGGCCGGCGAGTACGCGGTGTGGCAAACGCGGCGATTTTTGTAATTTAATAATATATTAAATTATTATCTTTTTTCCTTTTCTGACTTGTTTAAATTATTTAATATACGGTTCAATAATATTATATATATTTTTTCAATTCACGTTTTTAGTTTGATAAACCTTAACTATGTAGGCTATTGAGTCTAATAGTGAAGATTGAGATCTCTGTATTCCCCTTGACTATGTATTATGGTAAGTATAGACTTTTCTCGATCTTATTGATTTTCCTCAATGTTTTAAAAAAGCACAGGAAAATAGATTTTTTTTTCTGCAAATATAAATTTAGTCCGACCTTTTGTCTTTGATTAGAAGTTCGAATCTCCTATCTCGTTTGTTTTACTTAAAAAAAATATATATTTTTTATTCATTCAAAAAGTATAAGGCAGACAGCAGTTGATATTCATTATAAATGATTAACAACTGGGAGAGAAAAATGTTTATTTTAAATAATAATGAGTTGTAGAGCTAAATATTTTCATTATAAACCTGTAAAAATATTGACAGGAAAGCGAAAACAGAGTATACGTTATATCCGAAAAGTCCTGGTAAGTAGGATAATGTTGGATGTTCCATTGAAACCGCAAACTCCCCAAGATTATCGTGAGAAGGGAAGAAAAAAGGCTGAAAATTTTGAGTGGATAAACCGAAATGAAATAAAGTGCTTATCCCCAAACACAGTGAAGCTGAGTCATCCACTGTACGAATCCGATCCCCACGGGAAAAACACTTGTATTGGATAAGACTTCCATGTCTGAAAACCGGCGCTCCTCTCTCTATAATAATAGCACTTCCATTTTCCATTCATCATCCCAATTTCTGAATCCCATGGCTTCCTTCTTCGTCAACAAGCCCAATCTCGGCGTCGTCCTCGCCTCTGCTTCCCTCCGCCGTCATCCGTCGTCGTTTTACGAGGTCCTTGGGATTCCGATGACTGCTTCTGGCCCCGACATCAAGGCCGCCTACCGGAGGCTGGCCAGGACCTGCCATCCGGACGTGAATCGGAATCCCAAGGAGAGTGAGAAGTCGGCCCACCACTTCATCCAAATTCAGGCCGCCTACTCCACCTTGTCGGATCCGGATAAAAGAGCCCATTACGACATCCAGATTTACAGACCTCCACTTTCCATTCTGTCGCCGGCGTCGGGCTATTCCGGTCATTACACTCGCCGGAACTGGGAATCCGACCAATGTTGGTAGTCAAAATCGGTCCAAATTCTAACATCCTCTGCCTCCCTCCCTGGATTAGGATTAGGAATAGGAAGTGAAGGTAAAATGAGTAATTTTAAAGAAGAAATTTAAATATAATTGATTTTTCAAAATCAATTTAAAAGAGTGAAAGGTTGAAAATGGCCAGATTGAACCAGAAAATGAAAGACTTGAGGTCGAACATTCAACATTTAATGTTGTTGGTTTTTTCTGGTAATGATATTGGTGGAGCAGAGAGATAATGCTGTTTGGCTGATAAGCTTTTTCCTAGTCAGGGTGTAGTGTATGTGTGTGTGAATGTTTGATTTGTGGATCTTCAATCAATTGAATGCAAAATTCTACTTTTTGATTAAGACTTCACCTCTTCTTAATTATTACAATTTTACTTTTCTCAAAATTAAGTTTTTAGTTCCTTCAAAGCAAAGATTAATAGATTACTTTTGTGGATTCAAAACTCCAACTTGAATAAATATTACAACTAATACCTCTTTTAAATGGGGATAGATTAAAGAATTGTTCATGGGTACTGCAATAAATCAAGTACATAATCGCAAAGATAAACTTAGCTTAGTAGATTAGACATCTTGCTCATTATTTAGAGGTCATAGTTTCAATCTCTATATACGATTGTTGTAAAAAAAAATACTAATAATAATAATCCAATTAGCAATACATCTAAATTAACTCCACCAAAATTTTGATTTCTAAGATTTAGCAAATAAAAAATGCTTAAATTTCAATAAAATGTCCAAAGCTAATATTGTTGGATATGAATCAATACCTACCGAAATAGTCTCATTCAACTATAAAAATGTACCTATCTAGTCACAAATTTTCAAAAAAACAAAAATTTGAAACGCATGACTAATTGAGAGCAGGTAGTTCAAGTATAGATTTAAATTTAACCATTTATTCAAGTTTAGAGTTTAGATTCGTAAAATTCAAAGTTTAAGATAATTGAAATTGACGCATTAAGTTTTCTTTTCTCTTTTTACGAAAATTAGGGAAAATGAAAAATAAAAACTCAATTAATAGATAAATACAAGGTTCTTAGTCTTTAAGACTTACATGATGTGATATGATCATATTGTTTACAAAATGACTCATATAATAAAAGATTTATCTCACTTCCAATCTAAAGAAAACTATGTTAACATATCCCACCAATAAATAATTTAATACTCCATACTAAAACACACACAAAGCTGGACAAATTCGATATAAAATATAAATGGTGTGAAATTGAAATATACTCGATAAGATGCTACATTATCAAAGCATTTAACTTGGTATTCAAACAAATTAATATGGCGAAGCTTTTGTTTCTGAATGTATATGGACAAACATGAGCATTTATATACTAATTGTTTGCATATAACCATTTTGGACACCACTCAAAATGGTATTAGAATTGAAATGATCCAACTTGTACCTCACATTTGGAAAAATAAATGAGTTTCTATCTCAAAATTTTGAGAATTATATATATATATTTAGTCTTTATACTTGAAAGTTAAAAGATTATTAAACTAACATGAGCTTAATTTGTATCGTCTCCAGTCAAAACGTCATGAAAGGGCATTTAATTTCTCTATTTTTTTATTTTTCAATAAATAAACTCCAGAAGAAAAAAGGCAGTATTTTTAGGAGAAAAAAAGGGATGAATGTAACGCTAAATTGGGGGCCAATCCCCAAAAAATGAGGTATTCTATTTTTACAAGTTAAATAGAAAGATAAAAAACATATTTGACCGAAAATCAGGGGGGCCCACGGCCCCTCTCCCCTGCCTCCCCGTCCCAATCCGGCTACTCTCTCCT